TTTTTTTTTTTTTTTTTTTTTTTTTTGGGGGTGGGGGGAGTTCATCTGAGCGGCCAGCGAACTTGATGAGTAATTTGCGTCTCTCGGTTCATGCGGTTAATTATATATATGCATATGTGCGTTTATCACGCTGCACACTCAAGTACACCCTTTGAAAGGGAGGAGAGCGGGCAGTCCCATCCACAGCAGGTAGGTCACACTGCTTATGGGAAAGAAACGCAGGTGATGCAAATTCATACTTTAAGGGCAACCCCTGTGGGGGGGCGGCAAAAATGGCATATTGTCCCGGTGCACAAATATAACGGTGATTACAACTCGGGTGGGATGCTTACATAAGGGAGGAGGAGGCAGGACAAAAAAAAAAAAAAAAAAATGCCACATGCACATAAATATGTTTTCGTATGTTTGCATAAGCTTGCGCATTTTTACGTACCCAAGACGGAGTGCACAATTACGCCACTTGAAGAGAGGGCACTTCTTCAACGGTGAATGGAAAAATTTCCATCGGCGGAAATGTAAATGCCAAGCTGGTATGGCCCGAATGTTCACTCTCCGTTGCTCCTTTGGAAGAATTGCCAATTTTTCACTTTTGTAAAGAGACACACGGTTGTGTGTGTGGGGTGAAATCCCCTTACAGGTGATGTGCGATAAGACGACTTAGGCAACTTTTGCCCGTGGATGTCTTTTTCTCCTTCCCTGCCAACAGATCGCCCACGGCATTACATTTCTCCCTTTCAATGTGTTTACACATGTATGCTCTTTGTTGTAGGCGCACGCGCTGCTTCCTACATGGTTCAGTTCCGTACACAACTCCTGTTTAACCGAAGAAAGCGGCGATTGTGCAGCAACTTTATGTTAATTTATTTTTCCCCACCCCTTTGATGAGGAGAAAACTTAATTAACCATTTTCACCTGAACGGCAATATTTTTACAGCTAAAAAGGCCTTTTCGTATGAACAAACGAAAAAAAAACAAAAAAAAAAAACCCCAGTAGCAACCCGCTGGATATGCTTATCTTCTGCAAGTAGGACAACAGTAACCGGTATCACACAGAGAGAGTGTGCCAACTAAGTATCCTTACAGTTGTGCAAAAATGTACGTTCAGTGCAGCGTTTTTTTTTCCCCCTGTGCCTAGCTAGCCAAACACTGTGGAGGACATACCACGATGGGCAACTGGTTATGTGCTTCACCCGTTGGGCGTAAAAAGGTTACGTCCAGGGATGGGACGACGAACGTGTATATACGGTTTGGAAAAGGGTGAACATGGGGCAGCAAATGGAGGTCACGCTTCAGCGCCTGTGCGTGTGCCTGTGCATACCTATACATGAGCGGGCATGCAAATCATACAAATGGAAAGAAGCGGTGAAATAGGAACGAGTTCGCTTTGTACGGCTGAATGGAAAAGTCAAACAGCGGGCGAAGCACTAATGGAATGTAGAGGCAACTTTGATACACGTGTGCGTTGTTCCTCCCCTCACTTTGTAAATTTCGCCTGGGGTACTATAACTCATATAGTATATGCATATATAAACAGTGCCACAGCGCAATGCGACGTACACATGACTGCGTAGGTGTAAGTGCGCCCTCAAGCGAGCACATTTGGTGTGCCGCCCCACTCTTTTTTTTTTTTTTTTTACGGGGCCTCCCATCACATTGCCCGTAAAGTGTCGAAAAGAAAAATTAGAGAAGAGCTAAGAACGCTGTATAACGAGCAGATTGGGAAAGTAGCACATTTGCGAACTTTTAAAAAAAAAAAAAACGTGATGCGTATTTCAACGTGAAAAGGTGTACAAAAAGGGAGGCAGTAAAAAAGCTGTGAAAAAAGCACACGGCGATACGGCGGCATGCAGGTAAGGGAAAAAAAAAAAAAAAAGGGCTTGCCTTGTAAATGCGAAAGTAAAGATTTTATTTCGCGTACCTTGGAGTTGGCAAGTGCCTCCGTTCCGCGTACGCTCATATGTACACTTGTGCGTTTGTGCTGATATTTTCGGGTACACCTTGTGCATATTTTCAGGGGGGCCCTTTTTTTGGGACTTTTTTATCGCACATTTTTGCGCCTACCTGTGCTCGATCACATTTATAAATTCATATGCTCGCCTCCACCTTTTTGCGTACACGCAAGCGTAGTACACTTTTTTGTGCTCACCCTTTGGCGTACATGTCATGCTCCTCCTCTTGCGCCATTTCGCAATTCGTCACCGTGCCATTGGCAAAGTCATCCCCATCGGCATAAGTCCATCGCCATCACCATCACTATCACCATCCCCACATCACCGTTTCACCGTTTTTGTGCCCCACAGGTGGCGCCGCAAGTGCCGCGTGCACATACATATGTACACATATATATATAATATTATATATTATACGTGACAAGCATATGCACATATTTAACATATGGCATTATGCGTTATTGGTATTTTTTTTTTTTCTCTCAGCAGCCTCCCCATGTACATACCATCATACCATTCAATCTTCCAATCCACCCATCGTCCGTACATGCATACCTTATTATGCAAACACACGAAAGTGCGCGTACTTTTTATGCTCACTTTTTTTATTTTCATTAAGCCCCCACACTTGTAATTATATTCATTTTATTTTATTTATTTTTATTTTTTATTTTTTTCCCCCCCCCTCTTTCCTTTTTTTTCACAAGTGTATACATGTATACATGTATATATATATATATGATATAAAAATATCTCATGCGCTCACATATTTTTTTTTTTTTTTTTTTT